TGAGGGTTTGCAGCAGCTGCACGAAGCGCTGAAGCAACAGTACCCAGATGTTGTGGTCGTTGGTGTCGAGCGGCGCTTTTGCAGCGCCATGCACGATCACGCTTTCATTTGCAGCCATATCCGTGCCGTCGCGCGGCACTTTGGAGGCATCGAGATCTTTCGTCTTCAAATCCATTCTCTCTTCGAAGAGCCACCAGTGTGTCCCGTGTCCCGCTCAGCACCCGTCAACCCTGCAAGCGAATCTGCTGTGTCCGCAGCCACTACTGCTTATGCCGATGATGCCCTGCCGACTGGCGCAACCGACATGGCCGTAGACGATCAGCTTGATGCAGACGGACCTGCTCGCACCTCTGACATGGCCGTAGACGATCACCTTCCCTCGGGCCCGGATGCAGACGGACCTGCTGACCGCACCTCGGACCTCCCCGCCGAGCTCGATCCGAATCACGGCGCGTCACCTTCTGCGCGTAACTCCGATGATGCTCCAGAGCACAGCTCTGGACTTGTTGAGACGGTGGCCAGTCCCGACGACCTGGTGGACGAGCTCTCCAAGCTGTTCGAGAAAGGACTCGAGCGTCTCAAGACCATGGCTCAGGGCGATGAGTTGCAAAGCCTCGTTCGCCAGCTCACACGCAATTGCAGCAACAGCATGCGGAATGCGACAGGTCAGCGAGGGATTCTTTCATTAGATACCCGGCGCACGCGTGGTGCAACTCGTAAGGCTGCCAAATCTACCCGAGCTGCCCAAGCCAAGGCAAAGCGAACTGCTGCTGCCAAAGCCAACCGAGCAGCAGCAGCAGTAGCAGCAGCAGCAGCAGCATCAACATCGTCAGCCTCAACCGTTCTTCCAGGTAACGCAACTGCATCCGCAGCAGCGTCGTTGGCGACCAGTTCGTGGACACGACGCAGAAGTCTGGAGTGAAGGGGCGGCCCAAAGCTAAGCATCGTGTTCCTGCTGCACTTACCCGAGAAGTCGCAAGATCCTTTTGCGCCAAAGACAGTCAAGCATTCGAGAGCGCAAGGGCGGCGGTGACTGCGTACAACACCCAACAATAGTAGTTTGTCGACTACATCCCGCCTTCTCGCAGCAATCGCGGTACTCGAGATCCGTGGGGCGACACTACCCCTTCATTTGCTGATTCCGATCCCACATTTGGGAATGCGAGTGATGGTGCACGTTCAGCCAGTCGGAAACGACCTCGATTGGAGCCAGAGGCTGACCCGCAGGAAACGGAACCAGCGCAACCAACAGAGGATTGGTTTGAACATTTTGCCCCTCAACTGCGGCCGCCTGGAGGGCGCTCAGCGGCCATCCGTGCGCGCGACACAATTCGACGGTTTTCACGCTACGACACGAGTCGGGATGACGATGCAGACGTGTTTGAGGCCCAGCCTGAGGAGATGGATGACGATGACTTCAGGTACACTCTGGAGGAGTGTGTGCGTGCTAGACGGCTTGAAATGTTTGATTCAGCTGTAAACCCAGAGTTTTTGTGAAGTTTTGTATGATTGTGTGTGCTTGGTGTTGTACTTTGGGTCATTGTGGTGCTGTCCTCCCCACTGTTTTCACAGCAGCGGCGCCTGAGAGGTGTCAGCATCCTTGACCCCATTCGATTTTAAATTTTGACACATGGATAAACTTGTCTTTGAAGTTTCGCGGCATAGAACGTGGCAGAAGAGCTTGAAAACAGCTCGACAGCGCAAAAGGAGGAAAGCGCAAAAGGAGGAAAAATTTTTCCAAGTCCAACTTTTCCTGTCGCCCCCTTGATGCTCACTGCTACGCAGCCTGACTGGGTGACCCGATCCGCCCGCCCTTCGACCCCATGACTCAACA